TGGGTTGGGCCAGGAAAATGTAAGAAAAGTGTGAAAGGGGGGGGGGGTGCAAAAATCCCCCAAAAGGTGTAAGATTATATTTAAACTGTTTGGTACACCATACAACCACCATGGAGTTTTTGTTTTTACTACGGTAGAGGTTCACATTTAACTTTTGATTTTGATCTAACAAAACTCACGTTGGTTACTTTGATTGCAATGAGCATACCAACAATGTATTCCAATATATTCCATGACATTTTTAGCTCTGTACACGTCTTGCAACTTTTCTTGCAACTTTTGCTATTTTCAAATTCAACTTTCTCTAAGGAAACTACAAAGCTGACTGACTGAGACAACTTTTGACGGAGAACCTGGATACCTAGAGGAGTTATCTCTGGCTCAGAGGTTAGTGGCTATGGCCACTATTAGCTGCCGTCATGCATTCTGAGTGTAATTCGTTTGTGCGTTTGGCTTCATCTTGTTTTTGCATTTTCTGTTCTTATTAATACGTTTCTTTTTCGTTTCTTCCTCAAAAGAGGAAAGAAAAATGTTTTAAAAAGACATCTCGACCTACCTGTCAAAGATGAAACATCTGCAGACATGAGAACAACGTTAGATTGATTGAAAAATTGAACAGACTCAAGGAACAAAACCCCTAACCCTAAAACCCCTAACTCCTAAGATCTTCTAACAGGCGAAATGATCAACTTGTCAATTAAATGACTTATTACTGATATTACTTCCCTTTAGTCACACGGCGAGGTGTTTGGTTAACTTGTTTTGTGAAAAATGCGAAAAATCGTGAAAACGGGAATCCAAAATTATGCAAATGTTGCGGAATTATGCGAAAAAAACGCGGCCGCACAATCGCATAATCCGACGAGGACAGCCGTATGTACTTGCGAGCGCCGTAAAACCTTTAAAAAAAAACTTCTGAAGCTGCCCACTTTTGGCATAGGTCAAGATTTCTGGAAACCCCAGAAATCTTGTTTAGCCAGCTTGTCCTTTTATTTAAAATCGACCGAATTAAATTATTTCCCCTCTCCATTCCTGTATGAAACCCTCATCAGTTTTGATGTTGACTTTTCTCGTGGCAAAATTGCAATCCGTCGTTAGCACTCCTGAGTGTTCAAACATGCATCACTTAAAATGTTAAAATAATAATTTTATTACATTGTACTTGTGTATGGTTATTATTAACAAGTTTAAGTTGACATAAAATAAATACACCCTTTGCTTGCGTAACATGAAACTTCAGAATGTTTCCCAGGTATTACAGCTTATTCGGAGTGGAAAAGGCAAGAAAGACAGCCACAATTACAACTGGGAGTGTAGGTGTGGGCGTGGGGGGAGGGGGGTGGAAGTAAGACATGCTACTTAGTGCCCTCCAACCACCCAGGTCGTAAGAAAACAGAACAAACAATAACAATAGAGCAAACAATCTATTTCGGTTGCAGAGAGACCTGTTCAACGTTATGGTCATTCACGAAATTATGCATGACTTCTCTCTCTCTCTCTCTCGCTTTAAAATACCCCCCCCCCCCCCACAAAAAAACAACAAAAAAAAACCCACTCGCAGTCCGCACTTTGAGTCTCACAGTGAGGTATGATTCAGCATAAGTGTCTGTACGTGTGTGTGTGTGTGTATGTGTGTATGTGTGTGTGTATGTGTGTGTGTGTGTATGTGTGTGTACGTATGTGTGTGTGTGTGGGGGGGGGGGGGGAGAGAAAGGGGGGGAGGAGGGAGTGTGTGTGAGAGAGTGATACAGAGAGATAAGGAGAGACAGTGACAGACATACAGACAGAGACAGACAGACAAAAAGAGAAAGAGTGTGCCATTGCAGAATACCTTATCGCTACAGCAAAGACACCTTATATCTCGTAAATTGTAATGCTCAACACCCTCATCTACTTGACATTGATCACTTATGAGGCAGGCTGTGCTGTTCCTGCCTATTAATCATGGCCAACGAGGACACAGAGGAATACAGTATCCCAGCAGACAGAACAAGATACAAGATTTTAAAAAACTCTTTCCATTCAAAAATCAAACTCAAGTCTGCTGAGTGCCAAGGCAAAGAGCCTAACTTCTACACGCGACTCTCGTACATCTAATTAAACATGAATTAAAAGAAAGCACAAGACAAAGTGGAAGACCTATATAATATGACCCTGAGGTACAACATGAATGCAAAATTGAGCAACTACTTTTGAAATACGGTATTATTAATTGGGAATAACGATAAAGAGATAAAGAGTTTTAAAAAACACCCCAAGTAACGTCTGATGATGGCAATGAAAATGATCATGAAAAGGGACTTTTCAAACAAAATTAACTTCCATTCAGATGAGAG